TCACTTCTTGTGAAACAAGGCAAGATCACTCCAAGCACCATCATCTGCCTCACCTTGTGGCAATCAACTTCAATGTGCTTGGTCCTCTCATGAAAGACTGAGTTGCTGGCTATATGGATTGCTGCTTGGTTGTCACAATGCATTGTCATTGGAGTTGCTTGATCAATCTCTAGATGCTTCAGTATTCCCTTGATCCACACCAGCTCGTTTGTAAGCTTCAACATGGCCCTATACTCAGCTTCTGCACTTGAACAAGACACTACCTTCTGCTTCTTACTCTTCCATGTAACCAAGTTGCCTCCAATGAATGTACAATAGCCTGTGGTTGATCTTCTATCAGCTCTATCACCTGCCCAATCCGCATCATAGTATCCAACCACTTCAGTGCTCTCATTACACCCCATCCATACACCAAGACTTCTTGTTCCATTTAGATACATCAAGAGCCGGTTCACCATTCCCCAATGATGCTCCTTTGGCACTTGCATATGCTGGCTTACCTGATTCACAACAAAACATATATCAGGACGAGTAATGGTTAAATAGACCAGCTTACCAACTAGCTTCCTATAAAGCCTTGGATCCTTGAACGGTTTGCTATCTTCAATCTCCCCCTCACGTGGGACCTTATAACCATCCTCCATAGGCATCCTAGCTGTCTTGCCATCAAGCATACCTGCATCTTTCAAAAGACCAAGTGTATATTTCCTTTGAGACATGAATAAGCCTTCCTTGGATCTACATATCTCAATTCCAAGGAAGTATTTCATTTCTCCCAAATATTTAATGTCAAATACGGATTTAAGAAAGTCTTTAGTAGCTTGTATACCTTCCTTGTCACTCCCAGTTATGATGATATCATCAACATAAACCAAGAGGACAACAATACCTGATGAAGTGGTGAGAGTGAAGAGGGTGTGATCAAGTTCAGATTTCCTAAATCCTCTCCCATTCAATGTGGTACTTAGCTTGTTGTACCAAGCTCTTGGTGACTGTTTCAGACCATAAATAGCCTTCTTCAACCTCAGCACATTCCCTGGTTTTACCAAGTGATCTAAACCCGGAGGAGGATGCATGTATACCTCATCTTCAAGCTCCCCTTGAAGAAAGGCATTCTTCACATCCATTTGCCATAAACCCCATTCAAGATTCACTGCTAAGGACAACACAATTCTAATGGTATGTAGCTTGGCAACAGGCGCAACGGTGTCAATGTAGTCTTCACCATAAGTTTGAATAAACCCCCTTGCTACAAGTATGGCCTTCTTTCTCTCTATCTTCCCATTAGGCAAGAACTTGATCGTAAAGATCCACCGGCTAGTTACAGCCTTCTTACCCTTTGGGAGATTACTTTCATACCAAGTATCATTTCTTATCATAGCTCCAGACTCATTTGCCACAGCTTCTCTCCATTCTTTGTCTTGAATAGCTTCCTCATAACTTCTTGGCACTTGGTTCTCATCCAAGCTCTCAACAAACATGCAATGCTCATCCGGAAACTTAGCAAAAGAGCATACTGCTTGAGACGGATTTTAACAGCTTGTGCATTGTAGTAGACTCGAGTGTTGACCCAATTGGAAGGATCCTTTCTTATCCTTGTACTTCTCCTCAATGGTTGAACGGCTGGTTCTTCTATCTTTGTTTCTGACTCCACACTTGTTTCTTGTTCTCCATCATTTGCTTCTTGACCAACACCATTTCCATCTTCTTCTTGAGATGTAGGACCTTGGTCATGAGAACCTGTTTGTTCTCCTTCTTGTTGATCTTCTTGACCAACATTTTCAGGTTCACTTCCCCCCTCATGATCAAGGTTGGTATCTTGACCATTAGAACTCGCNACTCCACACTTGTTTCTTGTTCTCCATCATTTGCTTCTTGACCAACACCATTTCCATCTTCTTCTTGAGATGTAGGACCTTGGTCATGAGAACCTGTTTGTTCTCCTTCTTGTTGATCTTCTTGACCAACATTTTCAGGTTCACTTCCCCCCTCATGATCAAGGTTGGTATCTTGACCA